TAACAGCTCCTGAATTTGAGCCTTCAACTCCTGAAGCTCCTTCGGCGCCATATGATACGGGTCCCGCTTTAGGGACTAGATTAATCATGAACTCCACCTGGCGGTTAGACGGTCCTCCTGGCACAACTTCCGAGAAGACGCCACGAAATCATTTTGTATGGGCATGTCTCCGAAATGGGATGCTTTATTCTCCTCGTATCTATGAGGTGATGCGCTCTTACTAGAAAATTTGCGCTCGTACTCCTCTACCGAGCGGCCCCATGCAGAAAAGGCATAAGACTCTTGCTCTATCTCCTCGCGAATAAGGCGTGATTGAAAACTTGTCTCCCAGAATCTCTCTGTGCCGGTCCCATGTCATCTCATCATACTCATCCTCCGTCTCATTTGCTAGTTGTCGTTCCACCAATCCTTGGATTTGGCCCACGACTACTGCTTGTTTCCGCTCGACGGGTGGGTCCGGAGTTCTGTGGGACAGCACTCTGGATAGACACTAACTATTTGACAAGAACAGTATAGTCGATTAAGAAATAGGTATACCATACTTGAAACAATTTATGAACAGCCAAAAACACCAAGCTTGGCTAGAGTTATGGTATACTTAAATCTTCTATGTTCTGGCTAGAGTTCAGACTTAGTCTAGAGTTCCACTTGAAACTAGAGTTCTGACTTAGGTTAGAGTCCTTGGACTTAACTATTCTGAAGTTCGGACTAAAGTTCTCCCTCTAGAGTTCTCTATCTTATGGAAGATAGTTATCTAGGCCCTATACTTGAACTAAAATAAGCACTTGTAAAACTTTAAACTTAGATTAGGTGACTTACCTCGAAGTCAGCGCGGAGAGAGCGTGGTGTGGTCATGGTTTTCTAAACTTTTTAAAGTATCTAGAGATGCAAACCGCGCTCTGATACCAATGTTGTAGCACCCCGCCTTACTAGCTTTGAAAAATCAGAGTAAAATTTTTGCTTTTATTGTCGAAAGATCGTGCGAGCTGGTTTTCAAAAATACTATCTTGTTGCGGGAATGCTACAGATGAAAACTTGTTTATCTTACTCACAGACATAATAAAACATGCAACTAATCAATCCACTACAGAGAATGGAATCACACATGCAGTCTGATAGTCTTTTCAGGAATTTTGGACTAGGCTTCTATCAAATAAATAATGTACAAAAAGTTGTTAAATTAAATCGATTTTATGAAAAAAGAAAATATAATAAAACATAGTAAAAATTCCTGGTTACCTCAAAATCATGGAAGACAAATTCAAAACTTTTTATTTTAGAAGGATCATCGGAATCCCATTTTTTATAAAAACGAACCAAACGTAAAAGTATATCTTTTTCTTTATTTTCATCAGCATGGTTGGTTTGTCAAAATTTTCAGCAGCCATTAGAAATGTATGCAGAAAAATATTTTTGGAAGAATAATATGAAAATGTGGTTTGAGAGCTTACATTTGGTGTAGTAGTAGAATGAATTAAATGCCTATTTATATTGTTATACAATATAAAAGATTTTATTTGCAAACCATGATAATTGAAAATTGTGCATATTTCGTGGTAGGGATTTTATTTGTGGCAAGAACATTTATTCACATATAACGAACAAATTTAATAACTATTTGTGTAATGTGCATAACCCGTGGGATATAGAAACTAAACATAAGGGATATAGTTTTAATTTGTTCCTAAACATTTTTGCTGAAATATATTAAAAGAGTATTTAATAATATGTTTTGTAATGTGCATAAATCATGACATATACACTGGAAATATTATGGTATTAATTGTGGCCGACTGATGTGGTTTTGTATGTGGATAAAATATTTGTTTTGAAATAACCCAAAAAATAATTACTAATGATTTTTTTTTGTGTTTGCAGGAACACATTAAAGTTGGAAGACATTTATTTATTGTTTGCGATTTTCTAGATATTGTAAATGTGTTGTATTTTTTAACAGTTATTCATTTTATTTTTGCATGATTAATTAATAAATTGAACAATAAAAAAATAGTTTAAAAATTGTGTTGACAAAGTCAAGGTTTAGAATAAAAATGATTATTGATAATTGTGACACTAATTATATTGATTAAAAAATTATGGGATAGCTTTCAACTTGTAACGGCTAGATCATTGAAAAAGTCAATGAGATTTGTTGTCTATATTAACACAATCAACATTAATTAAACCTGATTTTGTTTTTGCAAAAAAAAAAAAAAAGAGTAAGTGAACCTTAACGTATTTTGGCAGAATTTACCACATAAGTATAATTTAATAGGTTTAATTTAATATTGTATGCCTGCAATTATATACATACTAGTATAACACCCGTGTATTACACGGGTGTTTGTAAATAAAATATTTAAATATAGTAAATACTCGTGTATTACATGGGTGCTTGCTAAAAAAAATATACATAAATTAAAAAAAGTAATAAAAAGTATGTTTAGATTTTAAATATTTTTTTGGAAAAAATGTATTATTATTATTTATATTTAAAATGATACTATTACATATACTACTTAATAATCTTATACTATAATATTTTTCAACTTATATTATATAATTACTTTGTAGTTAAATTTATTTAATTGATAAATAATTTTAAAATTTTCAACTAAAATTAATAGATAATTAATTAATGTGTTGAAAAAAATTGTTACGGTAGCTTGGAATATTTTAAAGTCGACCAACGGATTAATCGGAACATAGCTCCGGATGCTGTGGCTGGCTACCAAAAAAAGATGAAGAGAGGGGAGGCCCGTTTTTAAACAATTGTGGAGAAAAAAAATTTATTTTATTCAGTTAATCGATTGTGAATCGTGAAAGATATAATTTTTTTTTAAAAAAAAAACATGTATTCGTTTCACTTGAAGTGTCATGCCATCTAATTAAAAATAATTAAATCAAAAAGAGCCTATAAAAATTATATTAGAGTAATCAACTAATAAAATATAATTAAATCAAAAAGAGCCTATAACAAATATATTTATAATAGTCAATATTTAGTTTTATTCGTTCCATAATTAATTGATATAACTAGGGGTGGGCGCGGTTCGAGACAGTCCGGGATTTAACCTGTACTGATACCTGTTCCGTTGTTATGAATTGTTCCGGGAACGGTCCGGGACGAGACACCGTCCTAAACGGATCAGTATCGATTGGGACCGGGACAAAACGGATTAAAAAAAGTTCAAACCGATGACCAAAGGAATATCTAATACTCTGATTTCAGTAGTTCACTTCACACTGCCACATTCATTAGTTCACTTCACAATCACATATTCACATTCACATTCAATCTGAGTCATTCACAAAGAAATAGAAATCTCAAATCTGATTCTAAAGTTCACTTACACCAATTACCGAATCCAAATAGTATCATTCCATAAGTAGAGTACATCCGTCATACACTCATACTATATGATTCGGTCTTCACTTGAACACAAAATACTAAAAGTCTGAAATACATAAATAGATTAAACATTGTCTTAAAAGTCTTAGTCTGTTAGTGAAATTTGTTGTGGACTGGACTTTCATTTACTAACTTGGCCATTAGGTTGATAATTAAATTTGAAATAAAATGAAGCATGTGGGCTGCATTAGGCCCAATAAATGATGCTGAAGGCTGAAAAGTGAAACCTGAACATTGAACATGTTTACTACTTTACTAAATATCATTTATTATATATATATATATATATATATATATATATTTATATATATGTATAATATACAATATTTTTTGCAAATTAATTAAAACGGGACAAACGAAACGGTTCGTGACAAAAATATTCAAAATCGATACCAACATTGTTTAAAACGGTTCGGGACCGGGAACAGGACGAAAATAAATAAAACCTTTCGGAACCTTATTTTTCGGGACGAGACCATACCAGTCCGGTTCGGTACCGGGAAATTCGGTTTTTTTGCCCACCCCTAGATCTAACGTCATGTAGATGGCGTGTAATTAATTATGGTATTAGTCAATTATTATAAATAGTATTGTAGATACCAAATATAATTATAGTATGTCCGAACCTATTTCTTTAGTAAAGTAATTAATTTAATTTTCATCCGAGCCTAAAACCGAAGCATGAAATGTTGTCAAATAAGATTTCGAAGCGTGCAAGCTAACTATGTAGGCTCAACACGTTATATAAAAGGGGATAGATTGGCGATTAATGAAAATTTATTTGATTAACAAATAAATAATTCATGAAATCTGGTTGTGTTAATAAATAATTCATGAAATCTGGTTGTGTAATCCTCCGTGTACTAATAAACATGTATGGTTCTAATTATGGTATTCTCAAACAATGGTAATCCTATGTCATGTGTGAGTTTTTATATATGTTCATTGAATCAGGACTTTGAAAAACGGATTGATTAATCAGATCAAAGAATTAAAACGTTACAGTATATAATAAGAAATAATATTTATGCAAAAAAAAAAAAAAACACTTTACCATATTGATAAAGTAAAAACACCTTCCTATATTAATTTGAAAATTGATTTTGGCGGGAAGATATAGGCTATTGCATTACATAGATTTATGGATTTCGTAAGGTTGATCGCAATACCTATTGGGCAATGCTATATGTACACCCCCTTTTAATAAATTACACAAAGAAAAGTGCTATATGTACACCCCTTTTTTACACTTGAGGGGGTGTACATATAGACACCCCCTACCTATTGTATCAAAAGGTCTTTAACATCTCAAGCGGAAAGGTATTAATCTGGATGAAAACAGATGCATAAAAAAAATTGAGTAAAGACGCACAACAGATAAAAGATTTGATACAATCAAACAGCCAAAGCCAAACTCATCTGTACCAACTGAGTTTTAACCATACCACACATGGAGAAAAATATGTACTGTGATAAAGCGGACGCACAACCGTATTTTCTGCCCTGATTGTGAAATGTCACAACATATATCAAAAATACTAAAACATGAGTCAATTATTCGTAGGATTTTCACATTCCAAAATTCAGATTAAGATGAAGGAACAGCCGAACCCGACACGAGGGGTTCACTGATTACAACTAGTTCATTACGTAGTCCTGTAAAAACAATTTCATCTGTCTCGACTGGCCTGAACTTAACGAAGGCTGCTGGCACCAAATCCTCGTCCTCAAGTGTTGGTGCTTTTCCTGTGTTTGCTGGAAAACGAGGGATCAATCGGCGCTCGACTAAGTCCGGATGTTGGAGACTGAACTCTGTGCTTGAGTCTTTCAGTGCATTGCTCACAAACTACCAAAATGAAAAAGTTTAGAGGTAACGTGTTAGAGAAAGATGAATATACTGCAAATATATGGCTCATTCCTGTGGCAACAAGAGAAGGAAAATAATGACACTCACATCGTTCCTTAATTTCGGATACAAAGTAATTTCTGTTTCTTACAACGAATTTGGTGATGGACAAAAGAAGATGTTGGAGAAGATAATTAGATTTCATATACAGATAATTTTATAATTTCCACGTCAACAACTGATAATAGAACAAAAAAGGTTGTAACTGCAGAAACGAGAAATTCTATAACAAATTTAAGGTGTAGAAGAACCTTAATCATATCTTCTATAATAACTATTTCCACTTAAAAATTCAGTTCAGAATACTGTTTAACAGTTTTCAGAGTTGAGAAACTTCTATTGGAGATTATATCAATGTCAACCTTAGAGTTCCTTTAGTTGATATAATTAGAGTAGTAGATTCAGAGGGACATCAAAATCCATACACCTGTTGAGGTTGCATAATCATGCCATAACAAAGTCATATTTTCCTAGACAGCTTTAATGTTTACAAGACAAGATTGTGCCAAGAAATTTTAGTACTTCATACAGAAAAAATAATGAATATCTAGAATCAATGTCCAGGGAAATCCACAGAACATAATATATAGTGACGAATATTGTGATTTTGTAAGAATCGCTTGAGTGGCATGCATTAAGTACTTGGGCTTTTGAGCTATGAATCGAAAGTAAAATTTCAAAATTCATAAAATGACTTGGGGCAAAGTAAGTACAGTTAACTGCACATAATTTAACAAATTTAATAGTAAATAGGTTCATAACTAATAGGAAGCAATCGTGAAATCAAGAAAAACAAAAAGAATTCAAGTACAGCGAAGGTTGTAGAAGCTGAACAATAAACTTCTTAGTTGATAGGTGCATGAAAGTACTGACAATAAAGTTAGAGTGAGTGCCAATGTGATGGAAATATCTCTGTGCATACATGATTGGTGCCGAAAAGCACCTTAACATCCTTAACTCTTATGAAATATGTATTAGCAATAATAACTTCAAACAAATTATCTGTGCCACCGTTTGCAGCAATTTAATGTATAAAACCGTACTCATCTCATACAAGAATTTTTAGGGAACTACTTAGTGTTCAAAGGAAGGCCATTCACTTCTCACGGTACCAACAATCACAGTTATTACTTACTAAAGACTCATCGTTTTTGCCTTTATGATCTGTCACCTTTTATATTGATTTTTTTACAAATAAATAGCATTAGTATACAACACATTTTTATTTTTATCACCTATGCCATCATTGGGTGCGTTTGCCTCGCCTCACATTAATAACCATTTGATTTGCATAACAATTTCATCTTTAATCAGATTAAACATGAGCCACCAATATTTGAATTGGATTAAATTACTAATCAAGACTCGCTACAATTCCATCTGTATACAAATCACGAGACTAACCTCATATAGAGCTCCAGTAGACTCAGATGGTGAAAAGATAGCTTGAAGTACAACTCCATCAGGAAACTGCACTCTAATGACAGTCTTCTTGTACAGCTTTTTTCCAGCTGTTGCCTGCTTTTCTTTGTAGGACTTGGGAAATAAAAGCTTAGATTCTTCTAAGTTCGTCTTTCTTGCATCGGTTTCCCTTTTCAGTTCTTCAGCCGTAAAGTCATAGAAAGAATCAGGCAGCTCAATTTTTGCAGCAACACTCTCATGAACAGCAGAGAAAACTCGAATCTAGTTTCAATTTGTCAAAAAAAAAAAAAGAAAGAAAAAATGAGAAGAAACCTTGAAGGTGCAAGAACATGACAGAGGTGACAGAAATGAACATTAGACCCTGATTGTAAATAATGAGTAATCTGACGGCAAAAAACATAAGTGGTGCAAAAGAGAACGTGAACGTTCATTTAAAGAATATAAACAACAGAACATTTGATTGGAGAGGGGGGCCAAATGAAATTTAAACCAATGCTGAAAATAGTGAATACTAGCCAATTATCCGGAACTGAAAAGGATAAATATAAAACTGCAACTTTTATGTATACAATCTCAAATTGTGAAGTATATATACATTGGACTTCTCTTAAGCCATTAGTAGTAGCAGAATTTTGATGTTCAAAATCATAGTTAACTAGTCTCTTAAAAATTCCCTCCTAAAAGTACTTCATCCAAATGAATGGATTAATTGTATTTTATTATGGTTCTCTGAGGGCTGACATAGGCTGCATGCTAAATCATTTCCCCTAAATGACAACTTTCCTATCATAACTTAATTATAAATCTGAGCTTAACTTTCAAAAGAGGCGACAATAAAAGAATATTGGAACGATCAAACATGTCAAGAAGCATCCCAAACATTTCGTGAAGCATACAGTAATCACAATTGGACATCGACAATCCTAAAGCTAGAATTTCAACTGCTTGATCACAGTACCAAACGCATATATTTAGGTGGACAAATAACATACCACGACATCCCCCTTGCCGGTGACAGAGTATAAAATGCAATCTTTAAGATTTGATCAGCGAAATAATGACGCAAACAAATTTTATATAAAACAAACAGTAGCTTTCATTCCACATAATTGGCATCCATTGTAAGGGTGTACAATCGAATCTGACAGGTTTGATAGTTATCCCTCAAATAAGATCTAACCAAATTAAATCAGATCCAAAATATTCATGAGATTTTTATATCAAAAGTAACAAGATGATGCAACAACTAGGAATCATATGTTTCTATAATTTTCCCATTTTTATGTAAGGAAGCTTTTCCTCAATACAGAACCTTAAACTTTTGAAGAACGTGTAGGGTGATTCTTCTGATCATTCTTCTAATCCTATAGATAAGAAAAAATCAAGGCCATGCTATGTTACATGACCCTAATAGATTCACGTTTTTAAATTCAAACACAAAGGCTACCAACAGTTATGTAAAAAAAAGTTGGAAGTGGAGAATGCAAGATGTAACTTTTACAAGAAGAAGGTAAAAAAGCTAACTAAGAAAAAAAAATTACGGGTGCTAGCTTATGGGGGCTGCAGTGAATGCCATCTTACAAACACTACTAAATCAGTCTGATAGTTTTCAACAGTCGACGTTACTCAATCAAAACATCACTAAAAGACACATCCTAGCAACTATCATACACTTTGTCACTATCAGCTCACAACAATACACTCGTTACTTTTTCTATTCACTAATCACATCTGATCGCCATTTTATCTCAGAAGGCCATTACATATATTATTTTTGTTTAGATTTAATCATATACAATCGCACTTGAAACTATTTTTCCTGTTTCTTCAAACATTATTCTCTCTTTTAAATGCAAAGTGATTGAGTATGCAGAAAATATGTAGCTCTCAACTTTAACATTCTTTATAGAATCACGGAGGCACATATTTTAAGTAGTACAAGGAAAAATTAAATGCATATGACATGCATGTGTCCACTAAACCATGAAAAGGACACCCTTATACAACAGTTTCCCCAGTTAGCCATGTAATAAATAAAAACAATGACAATCAATTAGCTCTATAATGTGTCCAGTAATGAACAAAAAACTTCGAAGTTGATTCACTACCCTTTGGACCTAATTATGTTGATGTTTTCCAGATTACCATTATGTTGTATATCGAACAAAGAAAAACTATTAGCATCAGTATGCATCTTCCACAAATATTAATCACATTTACACAAGACGGGCTCTGCACCCATGCAAAAAACTCGTGCCCACACAATATACCAATCTGCAGTCATTTGATCCTCTTATTCACCTAAAAGCAACCAATCAACTATAATAACAAGAAATATAGAAAAAATAAAAGGAAGATAAAGACGCACCTGAAATATCATTAAACACAAGAAACTCATGATTTGAATTATAATAGCAAACAATAGATTGCAAAGGTGACCAAATAAACAACTACCCAAGACACAGCATTATCAATAATTAGTCCAAATTATATACCTGTCGGTCAACATGCTTTGGTTCAACAGGTTCTTCCTCAATCTTAGCCGGAACAATCTGCGGCAACTCCTTAACCTTATTCGTCTCGAGCAATGATATCACAGCTTTAGCCAACCTAAGTCTCTCTGAACAAGGATCATCCATAACGAGCCACATTTCCCCATTTTCCTCTATAAGATCGAACCCCACGCACAATAGTAACTCTATCCCCCCAGGAACATCCCCAACTGCCTCCTTTATCTTTGGATTCCCAATTCTTATCTTCCTGAACTTTGCATTTGCAGGGTCTTTCACCACATTCTTCAAAAGTATCAACATAATCTCCTTCGAACCATCACTCGGCTTCCCTGACACATAAGAACCGACACTGGTCTCCAGTTGACTCATAATCTCTTCCGATTCTTTAGTGTCAAACTCGTTTCCAAAATCCGCTGCGTTCAAACAAGAGTCAATATGGAGATAAATTTGCTTCTCAGATGTGTACGCCTTACCACAGACTGGACACTCAAACACTTGCAGAGAATACCCATTAGGGTTCCTCCTACTGGACGTAATCAGTGGACTGAAGGGATCGAACCCATTTTCAGACATGTCGCGTTTTTCCCAGTTTGCTGGCTTCTCGGGGTTCCTGAATTGCGATTTCTGCTGAGGAGCGAATTTTTCCGAGTTTGCTGGCTTCTCGGGGTTCCTGAATTGCAATTTCTGCTGAGGAGCGATATTATCGCTAACCTTCGGCGCCGGAGGCTTGCCGGCAAAAGGTTTGTGGTTAACCATGGACGACGGCGATGATAATGGGTGGTGGTACTGAGTGGCTGAAGAAGACGACGAGGAACCCAACACTCTGCCTTGGCCCTTGAATTTGGCCGACGGTGAATTCGAGAACGGATTGTTGATTTTGTTCATTAAACCCTTCATCTTATCTCGGACTCCATCCATTGCGTTTCTTGAAACAGAACCGAAGCGAATCTATCTTCTTGCGCCCAACAATGGCAATTTTGGAGGTTTCTTGAAATGCAAGACGAATATGAATAAACTGAAGCTAATGCGTATGAATAAACTGGATCTGCGAAGAGAGGGTGAGAATTGTGAAGATATGAGGTTTAGAGGACAAACAAACTGTGTATTTGGTGATTTGGTCGTCAATGTTACGCGCCACCCCACCTGCAGCTCCTAAAATTCAAACTTTTCCCTCAACGTGGAAAACAAGTCTTCCAAATCACACATTGCCCGGTGGTGTTAATCATATTTTACTAGTATTGTATTACACGGGTGCTTGTTAATAAATTATTCTTAGATTTTAAAATTAATGAAAAAACTATATTAAATTTTTAATTTACTTTTTTACAAAAAAAATATATTACTATGTATTTTAGAATGATATGTGTTACTTATGACTTACATGTCTTATATTATATTAGTTTTTATAACTTATATCATATAACTACTCGAAATATAAATATATTAGTTGATAAATAATTTTATTTTTTTAATTAATATTAAAAAAAAATTATTATTGTTATAAAGATAAATATAAATTATTTTTTTATACATACAATATGGATGTTAAATCGAAGCTCATCAAAAGAAGATTAATTTGATATATTACATATGTAAAAGTGATAAAAACTACAAAAGTTATTAACTTTTAAAATATATATACAATTCAATAGTTATAATAAGGAATGATATTAAAATGCAATTAATACTTGTAACATGACCATAAATAATCAACATATTTATGGTAATCTGAACTTAATTATTTTTGGTTTGGAATTAAATTAAAATCTATACAAGCCTAATAACGAAGCATGTAATTTTGCCACATAGGATTTCGAAGCACCAGAAACAGCCATGTAGGCTCAGCGCATTCTGGATTAATAGATAGAGGGGAAGGGGATTAAACAAAAGTATATTTAGTTATTTACATTACAATTTTTTAATTAATATATAATTTACATTAAAATATACGTCACTTAATTTAAGTTATGTAATAAGTATAATATGTAATATAAAAATATATAAATTTAATAAAAAATATGACTAGGGAGTGGAGGTAAGATTTAAAGTGTACCCAGACTATAATTTGTTTACAAAAAAATAAATGCATATGATAATATGACTGACAAGTTTTTTTTTTTTTTTTTT